AGTGGTCAACACCATATGGAGACAGAAGCGCGTGTGGGCGGGCTGGAGCCAGCCCCGCCAGCCCACCTGTGCCCGACTTGTAACCTTCCTTAGAGCTGCATTTCCGTCTTCTCTCCCTTCCCTGAACCAGAGAGCCAGCAGGACACACAGGGTGAGAGCTGTAGCCATGGAGAACGGATTCACCTGGGTTTTGATAACATACTATCTGAGGCATACTCCTTTTCTCTCTCTCTTTTTGTTACAACATAAACATCACATTGCATTACTTTTATTTGAATGTCTCCTTTCTTTAGTAATTCTTCTCACAACACCTAATGATTATATTTGTGTGTGTCCATCCCTTAGCAAATATACTCAACTCCGCTGTTAACATCCTTGCTGCCGTTTGTCCTTCCTTCCTGCTTCTTCTTTTGTACCTTCATGCATTCCTAACAAATTTCCATCATTTATTTTTTCTTATTCCCAACTACACATGTTCACATGTTTTCTTTCTTTCTTTCTTTCTTTCTTTCTTTCTTGATTTTATTGGGCTTTATATTTTTCTCTGCTCCCCTCCCTGCCTCTCCCCTCCCCTTCAACCCTCTCCCAAAGTCCCCATGCTCCCAATGTACGCAGGAGATCTTGTCTTTTTCTACTTCCCATGTAGATTAGATCCATGTATGTCTCTCTTTGGGTCTTCATTATTGTTTAGGTTCTCTGGGATTGTGATTTGTAGGCTGGTTTTCTTTGTTTTATGTTTAAAAACCACTTATGAGTGAGTACATATGATATTTGTCTTTCTGGGTCTGGGTTACCTCACTCAATATGTTTTCTAGCTCCATCCTTTTGAGACAAACTCCTCTTAAAGAGAGGTTTGAAAACTCGGATTTTGGTGAGGGTTCCCTTGGACTGCATCATACCATGGAGGAAGTGTGCTTGGAGCTCTCATTTGTGTGGTCCTCCTCATGAAACCTAAAGGGTTCACTCTTGGAGCTCATGCTGATGACCACATCAAATCTACTCACTTTGCAGGACCCCACCTCTGACGGCCATTATCAGGTTATGTTTCCATACTCTTAATACTTTAAACATGAGCCTTGGGACTAAACTCCTGCCAGGGTCTGGAGGAACAATCAGTATTCAGAGCCTAACATAGAGATTCTAGGCAGGAGCTGTACCATAGACAGACAAGCTAGTCACTGCCAGAGAGAAGCAGAGACTGCCAAGGCTGCTAGGAGAAGACCGTGCAGAGCCACCCAGAATGTGGCCAGCAGTGTCATCATTGCTGGGGAATGGATTCAAGGTCCTCGGTGCAGAGCAGATGGATTCTCTGCAGTCTGGAACATGTCCTCGGTCTCTCAAGTGGAGTGCTGAGGGTCTCAGCCACCTGGCTCCTGCTGTTATCTCCATTGCTAAGAGAGTTGCTACGCGTAACAGCTTTTGTGGTGTTTTGAATGAACCATAGAGTTAGATCTATCAAAGTGGAGAAACAGAGTTTGATTTCTCGTAGACGTTAGCTTTCAAAGAGCTGAAAGTGAAAGTCAGCTATCTCTACAAATTAAAACCGAATAAAAAGATTATTTCCAAAGTACTGAGTGTAGATTCAGGGATAGTGAGGAGCTGGGCATAGAGAAGGCACCCACTCTGGGGTTCATCGTCAGTGCTAGCATAACATTCTGAGGGGGTGTTTGCTGTTGGTTAGTACTCCAGGTCCTGGACTGGAATGCCTCAGACTGTTCCCTGTTTAACTGTCTGGAATTATCTGGGAAGGGAATCCTAATTAAAGAATTTCTTAGCCCGTGGGCATGTAATTTCTTAGCCCGTGGGCATGTCTGTGGGGGATTGTCTTGATTATTGATTGATGCAGGGAGACCCAGCTCACTGTAGCTGGCACTATTTCCTAGGCAATTGGTCCTAAACTGCCTAAGAAGCTACCTGGACATAATTTCCAATCACAAAGCCACACCACGGTTCCTGTCTCACTTCTTTGGCTGTGAACCAAGTCCCGTGGTTAGAGGTATGTAGAATAGTAGTCGGGCCCTCCTTCATATTCCTGCCCTGACTTCCCCCAGTGGTGGACTGTGACTTGGGAGTGTAAGCCTAATAAACCCTTTTCCCCTAAGCTGCTGGTGGTCAGAGCGTTTTATCTCAGCAACAAAAAGAAAACCGAAGCAGACAGCTTGTAGCTTTTAAACACAGTCAACTGGCGCCTCAGTTTTTCCTTCTTTTTACATTTTTATTTGGCAATTTTGGAAGATCCTAGAGATATATACACATGTATGTATATGATGTATATATATGCGTAACATTTGTCTGTACTTACCTGATTTGGAAGCCACTAAAATGACCTGTATCCCCTCTCTTCTAGGACTTGCTTCCCATAGGTCATTACTAACAGAAAGATATCATTTGAGGAAAACTCTTCAAATCATACGGAATCTTTCCCAGAGACTTCATTACTCTGCATGTGGTAGTTAATAAGACAAAGATTTTAATAAAGTCCTGGTGACAAATCTTTTACTTTGCATAGTTAGAGTATTTGTAGTTCACGGTAGGGTATTTTATTTATGTCCATAATATTGTCTTATTCTTTTCTAGTTATTAAAAGTAATATAGTACTTTAAATATTTATGGGAGTCATTAAAGATGCAGCATGCAATATGGAAAGTTCTACTTGGTTTCCTTCTTTGTATTTTATTAGCATGTGTTAATTATACATAATAATGGGTTTCATTACAGCATTTTCATATATAATGTATTTTTGGCACTTTGCCCTCCATTATCCTTCTTGTTTCACTTCCTCTCTCCTGATCTTCCCACCTTGTACTCTTCTGTCTTCATACTTTTTTTTTTTAAATTATCTCATGCAGGTTTCTTGTGAGATCCTGGGTGAGGGGTTGTTACAGGAGCTCCAGCTGCTTACCTGCGGCTATACCTGCGGCTATACCGTTAATGGAAATGCCCCTTCCTCCCCTAGCAGCCATTAGCCGCCTGGAGACCTGGTCAACTCTTAAGCTTTCTGTTTGTTTTTGAAGCTGTCGCCCTCTGCAGCCAAGGCTAGCCTCGGGCTGGCCATGGTCCCCCTGCCTCGGCCTTCTGAGTCCTGGGATTGCCGGCTGTACCTCTAAACTAGCAACATCCAATGTCCTCAATGTGTTTAACTAAAACTCTTCAAACACATCTACTGCATATAAACATGGAGGTGCAGGTCTGTCTACAGTGTCCGTTACAACACATAAGTATAAAACAGCCACTTTTCTAAAATGATTTTATTATATATAAATATATATATACATACATATTATCATATTCTTCCCTTCTCCCAAATTTGTCCAGAAACTCTCCTTAATACCCAACTTAAAGTTTTTTCTTAAAGAGCAAACCAAAAACACAATACAGCAACAAAACACCCCAAACCTAGAAAACAAAACACAACATCACGCAAAGAGAAAAGAAAACAAATCAAAAAACACCAAGCTGTAACCACATAAAAGCTAAGCTGCCATTCTTTGTTGGTTAACTACTCCTGAACATGAGATCTGCCCCCGAGTGGTTGATACACCCGGGGTCACTCCATTAGAGAAAACTCATCCTCCCTTTCCTAGCAGGGATAGATGAGAGTTCTGCTGTTTGCATTCACCCGAGTGGCTAGATTTACATTCATTCATTCATTCAGTTTTTTAAAAAAAAAAAACAACAAAGTAAAATATAAGATAAAATAAAAACTATCTCAATAAAGTCAGACAGGCTAGGCCAACAAGAAGGGAAGAGCCGGAGAGGGCACACAAATCAGAAGCCCGCTTGTGCACACACTCGGGAATCCCAACAACACTGTACATGCAGAGGAGCTGGTGCAGACCCGTGCAGGCCCTGTGCGCGTGCTGCTCAGTCTCTGTGAGTCCACGTGAGCTTTGTTCATGTTGATTTAGAGGCCTTGTTTTCTTGGTGTCCTCCCTCCCTTCTGACTCTTACATTCTTCCTGCCTCTTCTTCCTCCTATGGGGTTCCCTGAACTCTGAGGGGAGAGATTTTAGTTAATAGAACCATTACAAGTTAATTTTTACTAGTTTTAAAGACACAAAGATTAAGAAACATCTTTACAAATACTCAAAAAAGGTCCTTTACCAATTTAGTGAGCTTCCTCCCCCCCCCCCCCCCTCTCTCTCTCTCTCTCTCTCTCTCTCTCTGGTTTGAAAAGACAGGGTTTCTCTGTGTAGTCCTTGCTGTCCTGCAACTCACTCTGTAGACCAGGCTGGCCTCGAACTCACAGAGATCTGCCTGCCTCCCAAGTTCTGGGATCAGAAGCATGTGTCACCACTGGCCAACTCATAGTGGTTTTTTAAATTAAAAAATTTTTGTAACCGGTCCTGGTAACCCATGCCTATGAGTTGTTCATACATATGTTCTCTCATAACCTACCGGGGAGGCTATGGGAGAAGGATTGTTGTATGTCTCTTCTCTACAGAGAGAGATTGTGTCTCAAAACAGAACAAACAAACAAGACAAACAAAAAAACCCAACCTAAATAAAAAATCTGCTTTAGCTTAATTTGAGAGGCACCCAGAAACCTACAATTCAGCTGCCTGCACAATGGCACCCCCAGTTTGGTCATCAGAACAGCATTTCCTTTATACAAAGCTTGGCTCCTGCTAGAGACTCTTTTGGCCTCTTCTTTAGGAGAGGGTACCGCTGTGTCTCAGTGCCTGGCTCTGCCCAGCTGCTTTGCCCTCTGCACGATCTCGAGGCTGTGGGGGAGGGGTGGGGACAGAGTGTGCAGCAGAGTTCTCAGGCTTCCCAGAGCAGTGGGCGGTGGTCACCACCAGTTGCGTCTGTCAGGTGTCTCTGGTGACGGGTGTGTGTTGGGCACAGATGGGTGTGTGGCAAGCCGGCACCTCTAAGCAGATCAGTTCAGCTCTCCGATGTGACCTCATCAGCTGAGAACCCAAAGGTGAGGTGGTCACGTGCTGTTTGGGGCAGAGTTGAGCCGAGATCCATGTATCCTTTTCCTGTTGTGTGTTGCAGAGGCTGGAGCACAAGGAAGTGTTGGCCGGCCTGCTGTTCCTCGTGTTCCCGTTCATTCCAGCCAGCAACCTCTTCTTCAGGGTGGGCTTTGTGGTGGCCGAGCGAGTCCTGTACATGCCTAGGTAATTATGCTCACCCGATGCGCAAGCCCCGAGAGCTCAGAGAGACGGTCCTCTGTACGGCAGTGGGTCAGTGGGTCCTTCTGAGAGACGGTCCTCTGTACGGCAGTGGGTCCTTCTGAGAGACGGTCCTCTGTACGGCAGTGGGTCCTTCTGAGAGACGACGGTCCTCTGTACGGCAGTGGGCCCTTCTGAGCCCCGCCGCCATTTCCAGGGACCAGGCTGGCTCCTGCGCCCTGACTCACAGGCCGAGAGGTACAACCTCACAGTGGAGCAGGAATCACAACTTCCCGTATTCAGGATACAAGCAGCAGCATTACAATCCATTATAGTTGTGATGTTTTTAAATACTTGTTGATTTGCCCAATATTACTGTGTTCAGTATCTTCTTTATTCCCCCCTCTTTAATTTAGAAAGTAGGAATTAAGATGATATTTAGCTATGGCGTACACGTTGCTTAGCTTTGCCCATCTGCCCTTTGTTTTAGCTCGTCTGTCATCTTATTCAATGTCATTGTCCCAATTCCTGGAAATGTTACTGAATCAGGGGACAGTCTTGTTCTGACATTTACTAGTTATGTGACCTTGAGCAAGGAAAGCATAAAGCTTTTTTATATCAGATTTTCTCATTTTTAAAAGGGAGAAATTGGCGATGCACACCTATAATCCCAGCACTTGGGAAGCAAGGCAGGACAATCAGGAGTTCAAGGCCATCCTTGGCTAGAGTCAATCTAAGAACAACCGGGGCTACATAAGACAAAACATGGACGCTCTGACTTCTGTTGCTGTGTCCTAAGCAGGGCTTCAGAGTTTCCCCTTTACTTCAGGATTCAGGTGAAAATAAAACTGCGCTGTAAAGAAAATGTCAGTATTTGCCAAAGCAAGTGCCTGCCTCTGAGAGCCAGCCTGGATTTGCTTATATCAAACTCAGCAGAGTGTCAGTATCTACCTAGCCTTCATCCCAGAGATGGCTGTCCTTTCCTCTTGGGGCCTGGCCTGGTACCTCGCACTCTTGCTAAGGGATTGTTTCTTCCATCAGAACCTGACCGTGCCACCCTGTGCCCATCATAGCTCCTGCCCCTGCAGAGGGATAGTCTCAGCAGACGCCAAAGCCTCTTGGTCAGAGAGGTCTGTTGGCTTCCTGCCCTTGAGCAGTGATCCTGGGGCTGATAGAAGGTCAGGTGCCTCAAGCCCTCCCTTGAGTTCTTTGTCTTCCTGACCACGTGAGCTGAGCTGTTGAGGGCAGTAGGTAGAAACACATATGACGGCTTTCGTGCAGGGACCCAGAAAGCAGCAGTCCCATTCACATCCCTGGCCAGAGGCAAGGAATGCCTTTAGGGGACTGCAGCCTCTCTCTAGCTTTCTTCTCCTATATGGGCACAGGAGGTACGGGGGGGTACAGACTCCTGAACCCCTTCGGGTGAACAGCTTTGGAATTCCACAGTGGAGCTAAGTTCTATCTAGTTTCAATCCATGTCATGAATGATTTTAGGGTCTCAACTCTTTTTTTTTTTCTTTTTTTGAGGCAGGGTCTCACTATGTAGCCCTGGCTAGCCTAGAGCTTGGCATGTAGACCAGATTGACCTTGAACTCAAAGAGATCTTCCTGGTTCTACTTTCCAAGTACTCAGGATAAAGGTGTGTAGCACATAGGCAGCTAGGGTCTCAGCTCTCGAGGACTTGTTACAATTTTACAATCTTTGTTGATGGATGTCAGGGGTTTATTGAGGCCCAGGAAGGGAAGGCTACCAACTCTTGATTAAAAGAATGGAATACTTCTGGTCCTCAAGGAGACATGACATTCTGGTCAGTGCCAAAGATTAGAACATTGTAAATTATTGTGTCCTCCCTTTAGAGTTAATGCAGCTCTAAAGAAAATTTTTAAATAAAAATAGTTAGTGTAACTGGGCCTGTCAGTCACCTCACCAAGATACCACCCCTGAGGAAGAGTGTGATAGCTAAAGCCATGCCAAGGAGATGGGAGGACCGATTATCCCTCTGATGAGATAAAGTACTTAATCCTTCCCTAAAACCCCAGCCTGTGCAGTCACTCACAGAGGCCCTGACATGTAGCTCTGCTAAACTTGCCTGTTCTTTTCAGTTACTCGGAGAAATGTAACTTTCCTTTTCATTTTTTTTGTATCCCTTTTTTCAAAGCCTGCACACACTTTTCCTTGACGCTTTGGGCTTTCTCTACCCTTTGTTTTCTCCCAAACCCCAATAAAATTGTTCTCAAGCTTCCTTTCAAGTCCTGTAGACTAAGGACCCACAAAAGAAAACCCCAATTTTATGCCCTAACTAAGAGAAGGGAGGGAAGGGAAAGGGGAAGGAGGGAGGGAGGAAGGAAGGATGCCTAGCTGTCAGTGTTCCTGGAGAAACTGAGCCTCCTACCCACTGTCCATCACACCATGAGACCCCAGCCAGCCTCTGAGAAACCTCCTGGGTCCAGCAGCTGGAGGACTGATCTGGCTATCTTATAGAAAAGCCAGATTGAGCCTGACTCACGATCTGCTTTTATCTTCCTCCTTCGTGATTAACAATGCACTCCACTTCTGTTCTCCTTCCAGCCTAAACCAGAAAAGGGCTTTTCTTATTTGCTGCCAGAAATCTTTCGATGAAAGAGACAGAACTTGGCTATTTGCTTGGCTTCTGGGGTCAAAGTCTTACCATCAAAACACACAGAAATAACATTTTCTCGCTCTGATAAATGTCACTTTGTGCATGTCATAGCTGAGCAGAGAAGGGAGTCTGGGGGCTAAAATCATTTTTTTTTTTCCACAGAAATTTTGCTCTTTTATCCTGACTTCAAGAGAAACATATAATTGTATGGCTATCTTTCTAGCATTATATATATATATATATACACATACACACACACACACACACACACACACACACACACACACCGGAAGAGGGGAAAAGACAACTAAAACTGCATAGAAGTGATGAAGCAGAAACAGCTGATGAAAGGTGTAGGTAACAGAGAAAGCAGGTGAATATTCACCCTCGTGCCCCGCACGCCAGCCGGGATCTTTCACTTTAGGAGCAGAGAGCGTATCCCCAGCTACTGCAGGGGAACCAGAATGAGCAGAGAAGGGGACAGACTCCCCAGGGCTCAGGGAGGGCAGGTGTTTAGAAAAAGATCACACCACACTCTTAGAAAGCATTCAAAGGTGTGCTTGCAGGGATAGTTTATATCCAAATCAAAGTGGGTGTAAGGGAAGAATTGCTTCTGTGTTTGTCTCTGACCTCTGACATTGTACATGTTAATAAGTCCATAGCCACATGCCTTCCACATACTGCCCGTCTATGTTACACTCTATGACATACATCGTAGATAAACTCAGTACTTGAAGCAAATACTACCGTACAAGTGAGCTTGTAGTTTCAAGGATATTTTTCACATGTGTTCTTAAAAATGCTTGGGATTGTCTTATAAGTCGGACCTTTTGTTTGAGCAGGACTTTGATAAACTGGGTTATTTATAGTTCCAGTCAAACGCTTCATCCATGTGCAAAGTGTCACACAGCGACAGCTCTCATGAACACGAAAACCGTCCACATGGCAACATGGCCTCTCCCCTTTTACTCAGTTTTTGAAACATGCTCACATACAGTATTTCATGTAACCCTTAGAGGTAGGTTTGCAGACAGTATTAATCCCGTAATAGACACAGTTATGCCTCCAAGGGGTTAAGTTGGATTCTCTTGACTCTGTTCTGATTTTGGAGTTCTCAGGAGTTCCCTTTCTGTCATCCGGAAGCTCCAGACAGTCTGCTCCTGGACCCCTGCAGTCCCTCGACTTGCTAGTGACCTGAGATCGTAGGACCCTGCTGTCTTTGCAGGACACTAGTGCAGAGATAACTGTTTTGACCTGGAACATATACAAATGTTACAGATTTTCTGCCTCCCAATCTATTCAGCAGAAACTAACTGCCTACCCCTAATATTACAGCACAAGAATCTTAATGTTATCATTTGTTATTTAATGTACAGTGGACATAGTTCAGCATAAAATAATGTCCTTTTACAAAGGAAGGAAATTAAGAGCTTGTGAATTTAAATAATTTACCCCAAATCAGCAAGTGTGAGGGTTGAGATACAGACCAAGGATTTTGTCCAACTTCAGAGACTTGCTTTATCTGCCAGGAAAAGGCCTCATAAATCTTAGTGCTGTTGGGTGAACTATGAGGGGGGAACGGAAGCATTGTATTGCGAAGAGCCCAAGAGAGAATTATGTTCACTATCAAAATGGAAACCAATGGCAGTTGCCCTGGTTATCCTGAGGACACACTGAAAAATGACCCAGCAATCTTTCATAGAGAATCACGTGTGAAGAAACTTCCCATCTTAACCCAGGAGCACAGCACCTTGTGCAGGGACTAGAGAGCTGCTCAGCAATGCCACTGGGATTTCTTAGACCGAATGAACTCTCACCTCCAAATACATTCAGTCCTCTGGAGAATTCCCCATTGAACATTTGAGATGGGAAAAAGTAGGGCAGAAGTGGGGGTACTCTTAGTATTGGCTTCTGAGCAGTCACCACTGGCGTGGGGCACAACCACCACCAGCTCTCAGCTCAATGCTTCAGGGCTTTTCTTTGGAACCATATGGGGATAATACCCACACAACTGGAATAAAAACTTACCATGAGATCACTCATGAGAAGCGGCATCAACAGCGCACAGTGAAGTCAGAGGACACGTTTCTCTAGACCCTTCAAACAAAGAGCTTAATAAAACTAGAGGGTTGTGGCCATCTTGTAATGTTAGCTTTATCTGTAGATAGTCTCAGTGGATTGTTGGGGCTTGTCCACAAATTAGGTACTTTCAGCTGTGCTTGGTGGTACAGGCCTGTGATCCTAGCTACCCCATAAATCCTTCATCACCGTACGGACATGTTGATTAAATCTTTCTTTTAATTATCCTACTGAAGTTGGGTGGCCAGACCTGACTGTGACCCTAAGTCTGATAACACCCCCAAGTTGCTGACCTGATTTTGATTCCTGGAAACCACGTGGTAGAAGGAAAGAACCTATCCCCACATCTCTACAAGTTATCCTCTAACCTCTGCATGTACACTGTCACACATACACACACACACACACACACACACACACACACACACTGTATCTCTCTCTCTAAGACAAAAGGAGGGAAGGAGGGAGGGAAGGAGGGAGGAAGGGAACCTTGTGATGACTACAGCCATTTGCTGATGGCTCTGTAGGTCTGCAAACTGCTTCTGAGTTTGAGCTATTGTCTTGTGGCTCTGCAGGCTCAGACTTTCTCCAGTGCTGGGTTCATGCGGGCTCCTGTATGTTCTGCGTGGAAATCTCTGGTCAGCAGCCCAGAGGTTTCTTAACCAGAGTCACCGGAGCAAGGTAGACTCGCGTTCCATCTCCCTGCAGAAAAAAAAGCATGTAGTTTCTCATTTGCTCGATTTTCCACTTCCTCTGTGGCCTTGTCCTGCCCCTGGCAATAGAAGGAACGTGTTTCTTTTGCCCACTGCTGGGAGCTGCATGGAAACAGATGTTGAAGGATGAAGTTTCAGGATGGAGGAGTCTCTCACTCACTGTAGTGTCTGCATCTGAAGGAATGTAATGGTTCCCTCCAAATTGCAAACCTAGCAGAGAATCCTTTCTATGGCTTAGCATTTCTGAAACCACGTGTCAATTCAAGGACTTCAGAAAAAAAATATCATTTTTTGATACAAAAATCAATGCCAAATGGCAAGGGGGCTTCTCCTCCATTCTCACAGAGCAGGGACCAGCCAGCTATATGGCCCATGAGTCGGGTCTGCCCTCCACTGTTTTTACAAATAAATTTTGTGGGAGTATAGACATGCCCACGCATTTACAGGGCGTGTGCTTGGTCTCACATAAACAGAGTGAAGGAGGCATGACAGCGGCCTTGTGGCCTACACAGAGACAAAAGAACTCCCCCTCTGCTCTCCAGAGTCTAGATATTTATGTCAATAAATGGAATTGACAATAAATAGATTGACAGGAGCAAAGGCAAACAAGTGTATTAAAGTTCACAGACAGCACAGCAACTCAGAAGCTCGGAGAACGCCAAAGCTTCTGTGCTCTCCTCTCAGGGAGGAGGCCAGCGAGGCACGTAGGTGGGTCTAGGAAGAGAAACGGACGGTGGACAGACACAGTGCCCTGGATGGGGACAGTGAGCTGAATTCTTTAAAGAAAGCCCTTCCATGTGTTTCTGTGAAAATAGGATTGAGAGACGTGAAGAAGGGAGACCAGGATGGGGAAGGCCAGAGGCCTTGAGTGTGCTGCTTCCATCTAGCAGGATTGTTGAGAGATAATGTTTCGTGAGCCCTAATATATAAAACGTCTGCACTACTTGAAGGCGTAAGTCACAAACAATGCCACACCAGTTTGGAATTATGATTAATAGGGTGATATTTATTTAAAGGGGAAAAAACTTACAGATAACCGTCCCAGACAACAGCCCTCTATGCAATCAGGAAGAAGTCTAGTCGCTGGAACCAGAGCAGGAAGCAAAAAAAGAGCAAGAAGGGAAGTAGCCGCTTTTTCAAAGGGAGAGAGACCATGCCCCAATGGGCTGGTATCTCAGTGGCTCTTGGCTGGAGGAGCGGAAGGACCTCCTGCAACACTAGGGCAGCTCTGGTTCCTACAGCTGGTGAGGTCTCATGAATACAGAGCTAAGATGAAAGGCAGGCGATATCATGGGTGGGACTGGATCCAGCCTGCCACATCAGAGACCCTTTAGCAGGGCAGCATGTGGGGCAGTAAAGGGTCCGAGTTCCTGGCTTAGTCTCACTGGTCCTCTGTTCACTTGATGTCAGACCTAATCCGACATCCTTAACCACCCTCTTTACCAGCATCTTGGACTAAGAGCCCACGACATCCGTAGCTTTGTGAGAAGCCATGGCACTGAGTCAGAAGGTGCTAACCACACAAGATGATCGCTCCCACCCCGCAGCAGTCTTTGTATGGAGGAGAGCAGCAAGAGTGAGCCCGAGATGCAAACGTCCCTATGGCATGCTCTCCATGCATTTCAGGGCTTCTCTCATATGCCTGCAGGTTCTTACTTGACCATGTTGAGATGCCCATTTTTCCGTAGCTTGATTCTTTTTCCATGGAGCACAGTATAACACACATGCTCTAGATTTAATCTACCTACTCATTTACTGTTTCTTGCCCATGTTCCAGGATTATATTACAGTCTTGCCTATTCACTGTGAAGTTCTTGGTGTCTGTAATAGTATTATATATATAGTAGTCAGTAAATTGTGATGAGTGAGGGCGGGCCCTCAAGTGAGCTTGATCTTCAACACCTGTGGAAAAGTGGGAGGAGAGAACCAACTCCACAGAGTTATCCTTGGACCTCCACACAAGTGAAATACTTAAAAATAAAATTCTTTTAAAAACAAGTTATAATATAGGAAATAATGAACTCCAGTGGACCTTCTCATGGTCCCACAAGTATCCTGATTAGTTTGAGGGGTGAGGGAACCTGACCGGGGCAGAAGCACAGGCAGCAAGGAAGCTTGCACACTCGAGAAGCCATTATGGTCAGGCATTGAAATAACATTTGCACAACTGGTTCCACAGAAACAGTGTATTTGTAGAGCAACCCCACATCTCTAAGGTCAGATATGGATACTGCAATGTGAGAAAACTTTTGCTCATACTGGAGACTCTTCTGGTTTGTATAAGGCACAGAAGGACCTGTGCCAACTGAAATCAGTACTTGGGGTCACATGTGGGAACACTGGCTTCAAGTTAGTTCTTGGCCACCCATGGAGGTGGGATGTTTGGCAAACTCTGTGTTCTCTGGAGACTATTCTGCCAACAGGAAGCATCTCTGTAGGTGTGTGAGTGGTGGGAGGGACCGTGTGCTTTCAGAGATGAAACTTTCAGAGGGAAACGGGGTGGAGCCAGCAAGAAAACCTTACCAGTCCAGCTCAGGGGGCAGCCTTGCGTGGGTGGCTTTGGGAAATGGAAGGACGTTAGCTGTCTCTGGTCCTCCATGGTAGTCCATTCCTCCCAGATGGCCCTCTAGGCTACGGGGGTAGGACCTGCAGTGGCCCCGGCTCTAAATTCAAACACACCTTGTGATGGAGGTGTGAGAAAGCCTGGGTCAGCATGTCTTTTCAGGTCCCATGTAGGATGTCCACACCCGAGGCATTGAACCTGTGGCTTCACACCAGTACAGGAGAGCTAGTGCCATCTTGTGAGAGCCTTAGACAACCCACACTTGTCTGTGACAGTAGAATTCATATGTGTTCCTCTAGCACAGGGCAGGCCTGTTTGTCTGATAGTATGCTTGGGGAACTACGTACCCACAATGAGCCCCAACCCGCAGTGACTGTCTTAGTCACGGTTCTGTTGCTGTGAAGCGACACCAAGACCGTGACAACTCAGTTTCAGAGGTTTGGTCCGTTATCATCATTGTGAGGAGTGCGGTATCACAGAGGCAGAGATAAAGTAGGAGCTGAGCACCTGATATATAGGCAGAGAGAGAGACCAGGGCCAGCCTGGGCTTTTGAAACCAGTGGCACTTTCTCCAGCAAGGCCACGCCTCCTAATCCTTCTAATCCTTTCAAATGGTGTCACTCTCTGGTGACAGAGCATTCAAATACATGAGCCAATGGGGACTAATTTTGTTTAAACCACCACAGTGACCCTCCTACCCACTGTCACCCTCTACACAGTGACTCCCTGACTCACAGTGGTCCCTGACCCACAGTGACCCCTGACCCACAGTGACTCGCTGACCCACAGTGACCCCTGACCCACAGTGACCCCTGACCCACAGTGACTCCCTGACCCACAGTGACCCCTGACCCACAGTGACTCCCTGACCCACAGTGACCCCTGACCCACAGTGACCCCTGACCCACAGTGACCCCTGACCCACAGTGACCCCTGACCCACAGTGACTCGCTGACCCACAGTGACCCCTGACCCACAGTGACTCCCTGACCCACGGTGACCCCTGACCCACAGTGACTCCCTGACCCACAGTGACCCCTGACCCACAGTGACCCCTGACCCGAGTGACCCATGACCCACAGTGACTCCCTGACTCACAGTGGTCCCTGACCCACAGTGACCCCTGACCCACAGTGACCCCTGACCCACAGTGACTTCCTGACCCACAGTGACTCCCTGACCCACAGTGACCCCTGACCCACAGTGACCTTGCTCTTATGCTGTGTTCCAGCATGGGCTACTGCATTCTCTTCGTGCATGGACTGAACAAGCTGTGTGCTGGGCTGAGCCGGTGTGGGGCCACCTCCCTGATGGCATCTACTGTGTTACTGCTCCTGCTTTTTTCCTGGAAAACCGTGAAGCAGAATGAAATCTGGTTGTCGAGAGAGTCCTTATTCAGGTATGATAAAGCAGGTAAATGTGTGTTTCTTCCCACTCTTTTGCTGATGACAAATTTGTTTCCAAGTGAAGTAACGTGGGTATGGCTCTTTGTGTTCATCTGGAAAATCGCTTTTAATAAATTTGAAGTTTTGGGGGTTTAATTTTAGGATTTTAAAAGTAATATGTAAAATCTAACATGCACTCGCTCCAAGTGAGGAGATTCTGGTCTGTGAAGTTGGGTGGAAACAGCCACTGATGAGGGGGCGGTTCAATCAGTCACCAAATGAGATCTCCATGCCTCATTTCATCACTCAGCCAGGGGCAAGGGGAAGGTGAGCACACAGCAGGAGGGCAGGACAGGCAGTGAATTCTCTGGAATATTCCAGAGCATTAAATCATAATCCGTGGCCTCTCTGTTCATCATTGTTTATTTTAAACATTCGTTTAGGTGAGGAAATAAAAGACTTCCTTTTCTGGTGGGGTTTTTTTCCCCTCTGTGATGGAACATTTTTCTGAATACAAGCATGTTGCTGGGTTGGTGCTAACAACTCGGGGTAGAGCACTTGCCAAGTACACTGGGTTATATCCATATCCCTAGCATCATTCATATGTGAGTGTGTGTACTGATGTGTATATGTGTATTTGTCATATACATATATGTGAGTGTGTGTACTGATGTGTATGTTATGTGTATATACACATGTGTGTGAATATATGTATACACATTTATAAATATGTAAACACATATCATATATACATAAACACATGTGCATATGTGTACATGTACGTGTGTTCATATGTGCGCATATTTACATAGACATGCATATGTGTGTGTTAATCTGTAGCTTACAACCTGTCCCAAAGTACAAATATTAGTATTAGTTGTAAAGAAGTGAATGTATAGATGAATGAATGAACAAATAAGGCAGACGTTCACCGGGCTCTGCTACCTTTTGAAAATAATGTGTCTGAGGCTGGGTGTGGTGGTGGACTCGGAAGGCAGAGCCAGGCAGATCTCTGAAACTTAGAGGCCAGCCTGACCTACATAGAGTTCCAGGACAGTCAGGGCTACACTGAGAGAGAGAGAGAGAGAGAGAGAGAGAGAGAGAGAGAGAGAGAGGAGAGAGAGAGAAAGAATGTGTTTGATCTTACAACCTTGCAACATAGGCATTTTTAGTGTAGCTAGCTTAGTGTGCCTGTCTGGGTGTCATTGCAGCGCTGGTTCCCACAGGGCAACTGCTGTGGGGTAAGGCTCTTTGTATATCAGACATAACAATGGTTTCGTGTTGACACTCTCTGCGTGAACACAGGGGATTTTGACCACTCTCATTCTCTGTTCACTCTTCTGTGTCCTGTCCAGTGATCACCTCCTTCCACACTAATACCCTGGAGTTACAAGTGGCTGGGAGTCATCACCTGGACGTGGGTGCCGGGAATCAGGCACAGGGCCCCTGTAAGAGCAGCAGCTCTCTGCATGTCTGGACCTCTCCAGCCCCCTTCCCTTTGTGGTGGCCCAGTGAGTCCCTTAGGATTGTTCATAGCTGAAGGTTTACCCAAGGATAGACCACTGAAGACAAAGACTCTTTCTGTCTTGCAGCTGTTTCGTTTCTGCTTGTTTAAATGTGTTCTTTCCTTCGCAGACCTGATAAAGAGCTCTCCGGCTTTACCCTAACCACCTCATTCACTGTGGTCCTCACAGAACACAGGCCCCTCCCTCCTCATGCCTCGGTCTGGGGGCATTGAAGTTCAGACACAGAGCTTCCTGCTGGTCTCTTGGTTTAATCTTTCTCTCACTTTCAGTGGTTGACTTTTTATGGAACACTTCCCAGCCGTTCTGCTACTGTGTCCAGCACTTCCCCTGAAGATGCCACACATTGGCAGTGGCATTTATATGATATTTACTCCTTAATCAAAGCAACTTAGGTTGCAGGGGTGGGAGGCAGTGTTTGCTCCAAGGACAGTAACCTAGAGTTCACACCCACTGTAGCTAATTCCAGTAGTTAAGAAATAAGTAAAAACAGCAACAATGATAAGGCTGGAGTGCACACTGACTTTGCAGCCCAAACTTTCTGCCCCTTTTGGTGGAAGTTTGTTGGGAGTGAGTAGTTGGTCACTATAATACAACCATCCCACGGCTGTGCTGAAAGGGACTTTGGCCCGGGAGGCCTTTGAAGATCAGGTGAGTTTTTGTGTCAGGAGCAATCAAAACAATTGATAACTTTAAATAAGACTTTGATGCTGTCTAAGTCCTGGGAAAGCTGGAGGCTTGTAGAGTCTTTTCTTCATTAAGGCTGGATGTGTATGTGACTTCCTCTGTGAAGAATAACGGTGAGCTCACTTGGACACTTCACTGCCAGCTGCTGAGGCAGGACAGAGTGAAGGCAGCATCGGGAGTTAGGCTTTTTGAGTGCATGCTGAGTTCACCTGCTTAACTGCTTGCTCTGGGGCAAATCCCTTAAAGTTCATGGAAAAATAGAGAAAACGGTGCTTATCATCCAAGCGTAGAGGAGAAGGACACAGGATGACAGACAGAGGGGAAGGACACTGGGAGAGGAGGACGCCTTGGAGGGCCTGGGAGCCAGCTTAGAGCAAATGTTGCTGGAATCCTCTCTCTCAGCATCAGCTACTCCCCAACTCTAGGAATGAGCTTGATCTTGGCTTTGGTTGGAATTTGTGCCTAAGTACTTACCAGGACTCTGGCCTCTTCATCTGTACTACAGGGTACAGCAGTTGGCATCTGCCCTAGAATGAAATGATGATACGTGGTAGGTGGGCCCTCGGCCCAGTGTTTGACTGAAGATGAGCAATACACAAGCATCACCATCTGTTGTGACAGGGTGAAACCTTGGACCAAAGCAGAGTCCAAAACCGAGGAGCAATTTAGCTCCGCTTTGCTTTGCTCTGATGCTCTGGCTGCCATTAGTAATGCCTTAATGTTTAGTCTCTAGCTACGAATTTGAGATGGTTCTACCACCCTGCTCTTCAGTAACGTGAACTAAACAAGCTGCTGTTCTAAACCCTGGAGAGACGTCTGACGAAGGTGTCTAGCATTTCTCTTTCTTCTGTTTCTCAAGTCCTCTACCAATAAGAGGTGTGAGGGAGACATGGGAAATGCATGTGTTAAATGCTGTGCGGTACGGGCTGGAGAGACAACTCAGTGGTTAAGAGCACTGGCTGCTCTTCCAGAGGACCTGGGTTCCTGACACCCAGGTGACAGCTCACAACCACCTGTAACTCCTGGTCCAAGGAGTCAGATGCCCTCTGCTGGCCTCTGAGGGCACAGCACAGACTACGTGCCGGCAAAGCCCATATACATAAAATAAGTCTTAAAAAACAAAACAGAATGCTGATTGTTGGCGTGACGCTGTGACCTCGGCACTTAGGAGGTGTGCACGACCACACTAATCTGGTTTTAGTGAACATCATGGTCCCTCAAGTCTCTCATTGGCATGACAGAAATAAACAGAATTACGATGTTTTAATGGTGGGTGCCCAGAGCAAACACTAGGATCACCCCCACCTAACTGGGTTTGCATCTTTCTCCCTCTCTTCTTTCTGTTATCACCGTTCTGTTCTCTGCTCCTGTGGTTTGAATTCTTCTGCACACAGCATGTTTCCTACCTGTGGCTTTTACAATGTCTTCCAGGCCCACTCTGGTGTCGTGCAATGCACAACCTCCTTTTGTAAAGCTGAATGATATTCTGTTGTACATATAAGTCACAGTTTGATTTTTTGTTCATCTATTCATGGGCCTTGTAGTGCGATGATTTTGCTCTTTTTTGGGGGTCCTACCACCCAGCTCCCAAATAAGATACATATGGAGGCTTATTCTTAGTTATGAATACCTGGCCTTAGCTTGGCTTGTTTCTTGCTGGGCACTTATCTTTCTTATTTCTTATATCTTACTTTCACTCTTACTCCTTGTTCTTTTGTCCCATGCCCCCCCCCGCCTTAGTTCTCTTTCTATTTTAATCTCTGCCTGCCAGCCCCACCTATCCTTGCTCCTGCCTCACCGTTAGCCATTCAGCTCTTTTTTTTTAGACCATCATGTGTTTTAGACAAAGTAGCAGAGTTTTACAGAATTAAACAAATGCAGCATAAGCAAAGTCACACACCTTAAAATAATATCCCCAACAGCCTTATGTTAGTATATCTTGATTATGGTGAAGAAGGGGGAAGCTATTTGATGCTGACCCTGGCAGTGATTTCTTAGATGTCACAAAGAAGGGTAAGCACAGAGCAACAGAAGCAGAAATGAAGAAATGGGGCCACATCAAACTGCAAGGCTCCTATAGCTGGGTGTGATGTTCGTGGGGTCATTAGCGTGAACCGAGAGCTTGGGCTCCACAGAATGGTTGTTTTCAACATGCCGGGGATAAGTGCAGCCGAGGGCCTGGTTAGAAAACGGAGCCCTGGCAGACTCCAGGTGGGAACAGAAACCAGTTCAGCCATCCTTGGACACAGCACAGAAGTTCTGCAAAGGATTGAAGATAGAGTCATCACGTTGTCCAGCCGTGTGCCCCTTAAACCACGTAAGCAGTGATGTTTTGTTATGGTTAGCTGAATGGACTCTCACTTACTTTGTTGCTACTGTTGTTGTTTTAATTTGTTTTTTGGGGGTTTTGAGAAAGACTTTCTCTGTGTAGCTCTGACTGTCCTGGAATTCACTCTGTAGACCAAGCCGGCCTCAAACTCACAGAGATCTACTTGCCTTGCCTCCCGAGTGCTGGGATTAAGGTGTCTACCACCAATGACTGACCTATCACTTGCTTAAGCAAAGCGTTTGATGCTTCCACAAACTTCATTTCATCAATTATAGAATAATTATTTCTTTAATAATTTAAGTTAGCATAGACTTGATATGACAATATTAATGTCAATAAATCATATCAATAGGGATGTCAGCCTACATTCCAGCCTTCTGGTAATTATTCGTGTTTGTACTCAATCTCAAATTACTGAAAGAAAGGAAGGAAGGAAGAAAGGAAGGAAGAGAGGAAGGAAGGAAAAAGAAAGAAAGAAAACAAAAAGAAGGGTTAACGGAAGGAAGGAAGGAAGGAAGGAAGGAAGGAAGGAAGGACAAATTATCCTCAGAGCTTCACCTCTGTTGGCTGCTCAGTTCTGCTGCTATTCAGGGCTGAGCTCACTGTGATATGTTGAATCCTACCCACTTATAAGAATTTCTTTCTCCTAACTGCCCGCATGGCCTCACCCTTGTAAGATCCTGAGAATAGGCTCCCTGGCCATTTTATCTCCCAGCCCCTGGCACAGCGTGGTGCCGAGTGAGCACCACACAGATGCTGAAGGACTGTAACGTTTACGTCTGTAAACTGGTTTAAGCCACCAGACTTCTGGGATGCTGCATACATTCTAGACTCAGTCATGGGGTCAGTCTTGATGCCAAAAGAGGAAGCCAGCACGTGGGGAGAGAGAGAGAGAAGCCACAGAGTGAGGGCAGCGTTTGTGAGATCTCATCTCGTGCCTTGAAGGGCAGTGTTGGTGCTGAGCTGTGCGTTCTCACTTTATGGAGTCCACCTCGCCTCGCCTTCTTGTGCCTTTGTATTGCAGACACATCACTTAGGCAACTTCACTTTCTATCCATAAGTAAAAAGCCTTCGCCTGCGGCAGACATGAGAGAGAAGGGCATGCCCGGAATCCCTCAACAAGGGGCTGTGTCTGTATCATCTTCTGCAGGGTCTGACTTAGCTACATTGTCTCTTACATCAGATCCTCTGCCCACTGCACTCTAAGATGCAAGGGCGGACCGGGCTGGACAGTTCAAGGCTTTGTGTCTGGGTGGTGTTCTGCTCCTTCATGTCTGCAGCCAGGTTCTGCTATGCCCCGACAGAAAGCCTCAGCCCAGATGACCACACCTTACCAAGCCCCAGATGTGTCTCCAGCAGAGAGAAGGGGCCCCATGCTTCCCTGCAGAGAGCATTTCATTCATCATCCAGTTGTGCAAACCTGGCCAAGGCCTTCACTCCTTCCCTGTGTAGTCACTCACGTAATTCACAACAGTCAGAAACCTTTTGGACATGAGAACCGTTGGCATTCAAAGGCAGCTCATGAAGCTGGGAACAGAACACAAAAGGACCTGACAATAGTGTGATTCTTGTTTTCTTCCTTTTTAATGTCCTCTGTAGGTCTGGAGTTCAGACTCTGCCCCACAATGCGAAGGTTCATTACAACTACGCCAACTTCCTAAAAGACCAAGGCCGGAACAAGGAAGCCATCTACCACTACAGAACCGCCCTCAAGTAAGCACCGCAGAAGGCAGTTGCTCTATGCTGGGACAGGGCCGTTCACATTACCCTTCTTTTCCCAGGGTGTGAGGGCCATTATTTCTCTTGACAATGAACGCACCCTTGGGAGTAAGAGGGCTCTTGAATTCTGAGTCTGCGGGCTCAGTATTCACGTCTGTCACAGATGTACTCAGTGTTGCTTCTCCTTTTATGTTCAACATCTTGCAAAAGAACAACAACAACAATAATAATAATAATAATAATAAAATGGTCATAGCTACACATAAGAGTGGGGTGGGATTCAGCTGGATTATGCAAATTTGCAAAGCAGGAGTTTCTTGTTAAAAGTACACTGTAAGTTTGGAGGAATACGTGTCCTAATGAACCTTTAACAGCATGTATATTGACCGCTTTAGGCCTCTCTTGTTGAAATAGGAGCTGCGGGGCTGCGTCCCCGGCACCCGGCCGCCCCCACGGCTAGCTTTACCCAAAATAATTACACGGAAACTGTATTCTTTTAAATACTGCTTGGCCCATTTCTATCTAGCCTCTTCTAGGCTAATTCTCACATATTAATTTAGCCCATTTCTAATCATCTGTGTAGCGCCCCTAGGTGCGCTTACCGGGAAGATTCTAGCCTACGTCCATCCTGGGTCAGAGCTTCATCGTGTGCGTCTGGCCTGGCGAGTGGAGCATGGCGTCTCTCCTGAGGCGTCTTACCTCACTTCCTCTTCCTCCCAGCATTCTGTTCTGTTTACTCCACCCACCTATGTTCTAAGCTATGAGCCCAAGCAGTTTGTTTATTACTTTACCAATGAAGTCAACATGTTGATATATGACACTCCCACATCACTCTCTCATCCCTTTCTCATGTCTGTTAAGGGGCACACATGTATGCACATGATATGGAGGCCTGAGGCTCTCCTCAGAAGTCATTCCTTAGGCACTGGTCGCTTGGCTTTGAAACATTTTCAGCAGCCTAGAAATTGCCAGTTAGATGAGACTAAATGGTCCTTGAGACGTGTTTCCAGAAAGCTGAAAAAGAAAGGCGAAGATATATTCCACCACAGGTACTCGTAAAGTAGGCTTTGGCCTTAACCGTAAACGTCTCACAGTGTCTCATGCGTTCTTGAAGGGAGGCCATGGGCAGTTAGTCTGTCCAACAGTGCTGGTGGGAGAAAGATTATCTCCATGCTCACGAATTCTGTCAGCTTCAAATAGAAAAGTAATTCTAACCCTAAGCCACAGCGGGGCCAGAGGTTTATGTTAAGTGAAATCCTCAGCCAGTTGTTGCCACAAAATTATAGTTGCTGGTATTTCTGCTTCTTTTCTGTGAAACAATAGAAATAAATATTTACTTCTAGAAGAAATATATTCCCTGAATGAGGGAAAGACAATCAGAGCTTAAAGCCAGTGCTGAAATTAGTGAGTTATTTATTTCTCTCAGCCCAGATTCCAAATGTTTCTGATTTAAAATTTCATTTTTGTGTGGACTCCGCTCCCAAGGACCTTCAGCATATATCAGTGTTTTACTTTCTGTTTTGAAATAGGTTGTCATTCTTTGTGTTAAACAGAAAAGGAAAACCCCCAGGGCCATTCATCATTGTGACAATTGTCTATCCTTGGTGATTGGAAGACTGCTACTTCAGTACTGCTATTTCTTGGTGGGCGTTTCTGAGAGAGGTCATCTCCTACCCAAGGCTCATCTCCTCCGAGCTGGGGCACCTCAAGCCGTCAGTATTACCACAGCAAGAAAGATAGTTTTACCACAAATTCTGATTGTTCTCAATAAAAACCTGCAGTCAGATATTAGGGGTGAAATATATGAGCCCATGGTGGGGAGCCGTTCTCATTCAGAACACCACAGGAAGGGTCCCACAATGGACCAGGCTCTTTCCTCTTGGATTAATCTCCAGTGTGATGGCTGGTTTCCCCTGTTGACTTGACTGGTAAAGAAACACCTAGGGCACTGACAAGACACACCACCGAGTGTGAGGGTGTTTCCAGGGAGGAAAGACTGCTCTGAATGTAGCTGGCATCACTTTGCAAGCTGGGTCTTCAACTGAATAGAAAGAGAAAGGGGGGATGTTGGCTGGGCACCAGCACTACCCTCTGGGGTAGGTGTGAGCCAGCAGCCTCCTTTCCCCTTGCTTTCCTGGTGTTTTATTACAGGTTCATAAAAGGGAACTAATACATCTACCCAGAGTTTGATTGGGAAGGAATTGAACTAACATCTGTTGCCATGACTGGAATCTTACAGGGAGATAGATCCCAGTAGATTGAGATGAGTGTTTGTGGGAACACGGACTAATAGAGGAATGAGTATTGAAGACGCACGGCTGTCTTTAGAGTCTGAGGAGACCTGAGATGTCTAAGTAACCATTGCTCTTGGTGCCTCTGGTCTGTCAGCTCCTTGCCATTCCCCTAAAATGCTGTTTGGAAGCTGCTAGGGTCCGGCCGTTAGAAACCAGGAGTCAGCGAGGGTTTCTGGAAGCTCCTTTACATTCTTGCTGAGGGGACATTTTAAATGTCTTTCTCGTGACCACGACACCATCTGCCCTGTGTCTTTGGAAAAAATTAAGATCCCAATATTGTCTATTAGCCAGTTTTAGCTGGGAGGAGATGGTTTCTTTGGCTGTTGCAGTAATTTTACCGGTGAAATTCTAAAGAGCTTTCCAATATCACAAGTAGGTATTTGAAATGATTTTTGTTTCTTTCATGTTGATGAACCAAGAAGAGATTACATTCTTAATCTGCATACACATGCACACACACACATCAAATGCACATGTGCATATGTGTACATATATACACATATATGTGCTTTTATTATGTCTCATAAAGCTTAAGAAATTAACATTACTTAGAAAAATACTGAACTTTAGTGAAATTCTGGCCAGCATCAACTGAGCTTCGAAATGGAAGTGTCGTTATTTATCTTCAGGAGAGTTCCGTGCTTTCTGGCTGCCTCTTTTCTTCCCCACATCTCACTTTCGTTTAACTAGCTTAGCCAAGGCTCCCCAGGATGCAGACTCCAGGGCAGAGGTTTGCATGCAGGAAGGTTGTCCAGAGCATTCTCATAAAGACAGGAAGGAAGCAAAGAGCAGGACGGACAAGGGCATGGGATGCACTGACCCTGAGTACTTCTGCAGTGGGGCTGACCCCCCCCCCCCAGAGCTATCATGAGCAGACATCCATCTAGACACCGCTTGTCTGCCAGGCAGGCAACACCCTAGGTGTCTGGTGGGGAGGAGATGGACCTGGGTAGCACCCACATCCTGGCAGGTGGAATTGAGTACCTCCAGACTGAAGGCACACACTCCAAAAAAACACATAGTACTTCTTTACTGGAGAGGTAACGCTTACCCAAAATGTATGGGATCTGAAGTGCTTTAGAGTTCATAACATTTCATCAGAATAAAGTTTTGACTTTGTGTTAATGAGGAGTTGCCACCTCCTTCTTCTCATTATTGTCCCTGCAGTAGGCTTCAAGTAACTTTCAACTGACTCATCAAATAGCAACCAGAAACAACTTCTGACCATAGTCACCACCTGAGTGCTGGGATTAAAGGTGTGAGTCCTGCCACTTGGTAACCAAGGTGATTCTTTTAAAAGAAAACATTTTATTTGGGAACTTGCTTAAAATTTCAGAGGATTAGTCCATTATCATCATAGTAGGGAGTATGGTGGCTCATAAGCAGCCGTGGTCCTGGAGCTGAGAGCTTTAGATCCTGTTCTACAGGCAGCAGGAAGGGAGGGATGGAGGGAGAGAAAGAAAGACTGGGCCCGGCATGGCATGGGTTTTTGATACCTCAAATCCCACTCATCAAGGCCACACCTCCTAATCCTACTAAGCATTCAAACACATGAGGTCGTAGAGGCCATTCTTACTCAAATCACCATGTTTCACTCCTTGGCCCCCATAGGCTGTTACCTATATTATAATACAAAATGGATTCAGTCCAACTTCAAAAGTTCCCGTAGTCTACGGCAGTCTTAACATTGTTTAGAAGTTAAAAGTCTCTTCTGATGTAAACGGAGACTGCTCATTTGTTTCCCGATCACCCAGACCCGAATAATCACACAGAAACTTTATTAATTATAACACTGTTCAGTCTGTTAGCTCCCTGACTCTACCTACTCTCTCTCTATAACTCTGTCCAAATTTCCTGCCTGGCTTTTTTCTGCCCTGCCATAGGCTGAAACAGCTTCTTTACTAACCAATGGTAATAAAACATATTCACAGCATACAGAGGGGAATCCAACATCATCTTCCCTTTTCTGTCTAAATGAAAAGGAAGGTTTTAACTTTAACATCATATCTAATTTATTTTTTATCATAACTAAGAAAAACTATAACTATTTGTCTTCAATTCTTCAAGGACCCCAGAAGGATATAATAGTACCTAAGTAAACAGAAAGTACATTATAAGCAACATGTATGTACACCTTCACATTGATCCAAGGGTGATATTTGGAATCTTTCTTAATTGAGGTCTGTGATAGTTTGAATGAGAATGATCCCCATAATCTCGGATATTTGAATATTTTATTCCCAGTGGGTGGAACTATTTGGGAACCCTTGTATCACCCCACTCCCCCCAGCTCTCAGCTACTGCTCCAACACCCGGCCTCTCAGTCTGCTTTCCTGTTAGGAACATCGTGCACGCTAACCCTCTGAAACTGTGAGATCCAAATAAACTCTTCTATAGTTTGCCTTGGTCATGGCATCTCATCATAGCAGTAGGAAAGTAACTAAGACAAGGTCCACCTTATTGAGCCAGGACCCCTGGGTTCATGGATACAGCTAGTCTAGCTAGCCAGCTTCCACAGAGGACTCCCTGTCTCTCCATGCATGCTTGGCATCTATATGGGTTCTGGAGACTCAAACTCTGGTCTTTACCCTTGAGCAGCAAGAATTTTATGCTCCTGTGTATCTCTGCCGCTCTGCTTCTTTCTGACTTTGTGCTCAGGATCCTATCACATTCAGTGCTGAAATGATCTGACTTTCTTTA